ACAATTATATTATTTCAAGAATACATGCTAACTGTCAATAATATTTTATAGCTTTCCAATATTTTTTTACTTATCTTATTTAAATATTTCTTTTTAGATTTACGATAATACATGTATTGGAGATTGAAATAAACTGAGAAAAACAAAACTTTCTCCTTAAAATAAATTTCAATTATGATCTTATCAACATATATCACAAGCTCGATTGGGTTACGTGTACAGCATGAATCAATCTCAACACACATTAAATATAGCTTCTTGTGAAGCAAACTTAAAGCTAAACAGAAGCTAATAAATAATTCGAAGATGAAGTTAAAAAATATCAAGCAAATGAAAATCGGATTTATTTTCATGCAACTTATAGATACTGTCAAGAGTGACAATGAGTGAAATATATGAAAAAAACTCTCAGGCAGCGTGTTACGAAAAAATCGTGCTTGAAATACCAACGACGTACGTTCTGCCGCCATGCTGCCGCCATGTCCTCGATTACGAGGACGTGATTCGAGCTTTGGTTGGACCACTCAGGCTCCATGACAGCGACTGATTTGTGCTGCCATCTAGCTGCCGATTGCCCAAGCTTTTACTTGTGTCCACGTTACACGATACGGGGGCTCCCCTGAATTCGTGGCACGAATCGATCACGAGTTTTGAGAGAACGTGAGTTACGTCGGTTTCTGTTGTATGTATTTGACGTAGAAATGTATTCTCGTGTGTTACATTGGTGAGGTTTAAGTTCAAGGGCACTTAGATTTATAGCTTTCCCAAAGCTCTCGACATTAAGTGTTTCTGAGAAATTTACGAATGAACGTTTAGATTTTCTTTTACAATATCTTCATAGTTTAATAATCTGTTTTTTGGATATTAAAAATTAATTCTGCAGGAATGTGCATGTATTCATTAAAATTATACATATATTGTTAAACAAACTTTTCAATTAAGATTTTCTCTTTGATAAAAATTGAGAGGCAGAAAGAGATATGTGGATATAAAATTATTAATATAGAGGAATTTTTGTAGAATTAAATTTAGCATTTTGTAAATTTTTTAAATAATTAACAGAAATCAAATGTATTTAAATTATTACAATTATTAAACTAAATTTTTTATGAGTTTACTCAATTAACAAAATAATTAAACATTCCATATTTTTGATTCTAAAGTACATAACACAAATTCAGATCGAGAAAGAAAAGATTGATCCGTATGCGAATTTTATATACATTTATACTATATTTTCAATTACTCAGGCTTCATACTACTCCCAAAAATAATCTCAATTTGACTAAAATATATTCTGCAATTCGTAAGAGAGCAGTCTGAAACTATCCGTCTGGAACAAGCTCCCGGGCGTGTAATTCAAAATGATTACGAATCGTGTAACATGGACGTTCGAATCGATACTAGTCGGTCTTCCCCCCCTTATTCGTCCGGTTTCCAGGGGTCGGACAGGGTTGTTGGGGCGCGACCGACTGGTCTGGACTGGTTGACCCGTCTCGCCTGGTCTCAACCCACTTCATCCTGATTTTCCCCCCTGTCTCTTTCGCCACGTTCTATCCACTGTTTCTCACATATAGCTCCAGCAAGGGTAGAGGGTAGAGAGAAGGAGGGGAGGCTTCGTTGAAACTTGACTAGAGATTTTCTCCAAAGATGGCGCCACGTGCATCAAGGGGTTTCGCGCCGGTTGCTTCTAATCAATAGAAGGCTTTAGGTAAGACGTAGAATACCTTGATGTAAGGATTCTCTTTGATATAAAAATTTATTGTAATAGTATCTTCTAACCGACAAATGTCTCAGTTACACATAATTTAGAAAGACATAAAATACGAAGATAAGAGATGGAAAAAGAGATTGAAATCTATCTTTATTTCTTCATATGAAACATTTTAAGAAGTAATAGCAAATTACTTCTTTTCTTTATTTCAAATTAAGAAGCAAATCTATCTATAATCATACAATTTAAACATCTCATAACATTATATCAATAGAGGGATGATCCGATTACCATATAGCTTATTATGCTGATTATAATATACTTTGTAACATTGAAACAGCAGCCAATGTTGAGGTTTTCACTGAAGCAATAAAAATGGAGAAAAAAAGATAGAATGCTATAGTGTAAATGTAAATGAGAGAAAAAAGAGAGTTATTAATGCAAACAAGAGTTGTCAATTAGCTGGTTAATTCAGACTGGCTTATTTGGCACAAAGCTTATCCTGACATTTGTATATTAGCTTTCTGTAAAATCTACATTTTGTAAGATCTACACGGCACAAGAATAATAAGAAAAGAAAGTAACATTAATAAAAGTTGGAACAAGCATCTTACGAGAAAGTGAAACAAGAACATAAATAGTTAAACAAAAAGATATTTAAAAATTATATATCTAAACTTTTGCAAAAAGATAAATTGTCATAGTGCTCGAAAAAGAATTGATATCTTAAAATAAATTTACAATTTTTAAAAATTAGCAAAAATGCGTACTTATAACATTGTTGAATTTTGTATTAATTAAATTTTGTGACTTTTAATATAATATGATTATTTTTCATTTCTCTTTATATTCTAAGACAGTCCCGTTTCAAAACTTTCTTTCTCTCCTTTTTTTCTCTTTCTCTCTTTCACTCACTCACTTACTCATTTGCATCACAAACTACTTTCTCTCTTCAATTTCTTATCTTCTTTCAATCTTCTATAAATCGACAGTCACCTCCCTTTCTTTCTCGTGCAATACATAGTTCGTCCCTTTTTAATCAACGAACACCATGTGTTCATCCTTGTCGCTATCGTGGAAACAAGAATGTGGTGGAGTCTGGCCAATCAGAGCGAAGCTCTCTTAGTGCCTGCCGATCAATGCGGAACCCCACTGTACCGACATGTACAGCATACCAACGTTTCGTCGTCGGAGGACCCAACCCAACGAGACTTCCCAGATCGAGAGGGAAAATGCCGATCGTACAATCTCAACATTGTGACGAATGCAGCCGCCATGACATTTTGTATTGGAAACCGGACACGATTTCCCGATAACATTGAAACATTCTCTTGTGAAAAGAGAGACTTTAACACACATACTTGGTAACATTCGAAGCTATTCAGTTTCTATGATTACCTCTTACAATGTAGCTCTCAGCTCATTTTACATCTCTGTATAATACTAGCTACCTTTATTGTTCGTTTTTACGTTTTTTTAAACAATTTACATTTATTGCTAATGTATAACTGTATATCTATATGTGTATGTATATTTGTCTAATATTGTTACGTTTATTGAAAACTTATAATTCATTGTTTCCACTATATTGCTGTTTTAAACTGTATTGTTGAATTAATCTCAAATAATCTCAAAATATTTTCAAACGAATATCCCTATTTGCAGGTATATACCATATATCTCGAGAAAGTTAGCAAGCAGAATTCTCCGGTCCAATTCAATTTCAAGCAAAAATGTCTTTTACATTAGGGATTAAAATAGAATTACTGTTTTCACTCTTTCAGTTTAATTAAACAGAGGTTTCTGAAGCGACCAACTCTTTCCTGAATGTTACATAAGCGAAGCAAACTAATTTCAACTTCTCAAGTCTTTCTGGTTTCAATTCGGATTAAATGCAGTTCAGTATGATGAACTTTCTTCACACGCGACGGAATTTGTTATATTAAATTTTTTTTACTTCTCTTCCACAAATCCTTCTGCCGTTTCTTCGTTTTTCTCAAAGATCTATCAAGGGAACGATTATTTCTGTCTCATAAAATAATTTTCATAGAGCTACCTTCGAAAGATATTTTTAAGCAAATGCTGCGCACAGTGATATACTCCATTCTCTTCGATGTTTCAGCGATCTACATAGAGACAAACCGTTAACTCCCTGCTTTCTTCCCTCCTCTCGGCTCCTTGACCTATCTATCTTAAAGATATATAGTTTGTCTTCTTCTCGATTGTGCCTTCTTTCAGAACGAGCCGAAGTATTTTACGATTAATAACTAGTTAGTCATAAAAATTGATCTTTCTTATTACATCAAGTTTCTTCTTGCGCAGCTTTTGACTTTCTTTCTCATTTATCATTATTCGATCATTTTAACTGAGACGTTGGCCACGTTGTATTATAAATTATCTACATATATTTTGTATTTGTAAAATAAAAATAAATTATCTAGAATTTATTTTTATTTTACAAATATATGTACATACAGAATATAGGTACATTTTTATTATTAGTATTTGAAGCTAGTATATAATATATAGAATATTACGAGAATTTTCGGAATTACATGAAAAAATATCACATGAAATTAATACAGTAATTTCTAATATTGCCTTCAGAAATGGGTAGACTCAAGGTTTCGCACATCGCAATAAAATATCGTCGAGCAATGACGAATCGTGAGGGGAAAGGTGAAAGCTTTCTTGCGTACATATACTAAATGTAGCGACATGGACCCGCGAGGTTAGTCCCTAGCTTCTTAGTATTGCTAGAACGTTTCTTTGTTATATGCTCCTCCATTCTCCGCCTCATGTTTTATGTTTATCCGGTCTAGCATCGGATTGGCATAAACCGTCAGATTACGTCGAGAATTCTACCAAGACTACCAAAAATAAGATTCCCAAGTTATATATGAACACTTGGAATTCCCACGCGACACACCCTAATTTTTCTATTACATTACAGGACAAAATAAAAAATTATGGATACTACATAACAGCATAAAATATCAATTATGCCTTTTTCGATAATAATTATCTACAATAAGAATATGTTGTTACGTGCAGCGTCATACTCGTAAATCAGAAACGAGATATAAATTTATAACTCCAAAAACTTTTTTATACATATTATAACTTATATATAAATGTAACATAATAATAAATAATGAAATACTAATTCAACGATTCAATAATTGTTTTAAAATAATAAATTTTTAAGCAATTAGCTGTTTAAATAGCAAACAGCTTCGATTTTTTTTGTTTTTCCTCCTTCTTAAAAGAAAAGATTTTAACTTACCCATAAGATGCTAAGTCGCCAAATTGCCGTTATTCCCCATATCTGAAACAATTAAACAAGATTATGTAATCAACATTTTTACTTGTAATTTATACAATATAGAATATTTATTTTTGGAATTGTATATTTTAGAGGATTTGGACGAATACCTATACACACAATTTATTATTTTTATATATTTAAAAATGTATCAAAATTTTATGGAACGTAGTGTTTTTATTTGCAATTTATTACAATATGTTATAATATATTACAAAGATTTTTATTTGAGTAGTATATCAGATATTGTATATATATTTAAATATTGCATATACATATATTTAAAATCTAATAAACAGAAAACAGGAGAACTTACATTAACTTCGTACATTTTTCAAGTTTCTCACTGACTATAACGCACTTTGTTTATTACAATAATATTAAGAACAAAGATCATTTTGTATCACAATGAGTTATCACAATCGCAGATGTCTATCAACCAATTTCGTTCAGAGCACGCGTGTTCAAGCCTGATACCTGATACAAATGCAGAAGTTAGACACGCTTCAGCCTGCCAGTAAGTTTCACGGGGTTTCACATGATCATCCTACCTGTTTAGTGTCACTCGCCCCCACTCGACTATAAAGTGATCGTGATCAGCGGCCTGCCGCTGTTCCCGCGAATCATGTTATTCGTTCGATTACCTGGAGCCCAGCCGCGATGCATTGTAATCGGGCGACATTCTTTAAGCCACGGTCAAGGCGGAGCACTACCCGTGGTCAAAAAGCTGCATTAACGAAGCTGTTTCTCAAATCGTTCACACGGCGGGATTTCAGTCTGTCTATCGCTTTTACAACATCGTACAGCTTCGCGCCTCGCGAAATTATTTGCGCCGCGCGTAATTGTAAGTCATCACCGTAATTCGTCATAATTCAATGTAATTACAAGAGATTTTAAATGAATGAGGAATAATTTTTTAACGGCAGTTAAATGATAGTCGTTGAGGTGAAAAAAAGTGAAACGTCTGTGAGTTCGATGGAAAGGGCATTGGCAGAGCTGGCACCGTTACACGACATTGCTCACGAATACAATGTGCGCTCACGTACAAACAATGAGGCAATTTGTATGAGGCACGCGTTAGGCTTTGCTGGACACCAGTAGTTCGCTTTATTCTATGACTTTTAATTAAAATTGCACTTTTCCTGTGATAAAGTTTCTTGCTTTAGTGATTTGAAAACTTGAGAGTGATAATTATTTTGACGCTTCAATATAACAACTACAATATATAAAACTCTATAAAATTTAGCAAAATATGTACTTCTAAATATTGATTTTTCTTAACATGTCATACTTTACTATCATAAAAACATTTGCTGCTGCCATATTATTAATATTAATAAATATTCAGACTTTATCTTGATACAGCAAACGTAAATCAATGGAGAATTCGTGAAAGAAGTGAGGGAAACTTGTCCTAGAAGCTCTGCAGCACGAAGCAAAATAAACGAATGAGATTTCGCGATGATAGGAATTGAGATTGGACTGGTTTCGCACCATTAATTCTTTCATGCTGAATAACTGAAATGATTTGATCGTCAGATTGGGCACGCGCACGCATTCACGCTTATCCTTTTTGTTCTATATCGTGCTTTCTACGCTTGTATTTTTGCGTTTGCAATCACCTCTCGTAATTTTGAATGGTATCCACTGAAAGTTCATAGTGTGAAGGACGCTTGTAATTCACTGTACAAATTATTGATTCGCTATATTCTGCTACATTCAACGTGTTATGATTCGCCACATTCTACGTATTCTACGTATTTTTATTGATCTTATGCAAAATCGTAAGAATTATTATCAAGCTGAATATAAGAGATAATCGAAGATTCAAATAATTTGCATTTTTGTGTAAATGGACTTATATCACGTACAGTTATATTATAACTATGTTATAATTGCTTCTTAGATCCTTTCTTCAAAATTTTTTTCAAATTGTAAATAAACATTTACAGTAATATGCGGGTATAAATTAAATTTATTTTTCTATAATTTAGTACTCTCTCCTTTCATCTAATAACAATTATTTAAGGATATTTATCTTTTATTTGCCTTCGTTAGAAATATGCTTCAGTGGAAATTATTTCGCGTTTCGACTTTTGTAATATTCAAGTTCGACTTTTAGTGCCATTCAATTATTGTTGGCTCTTGATGATAAGAGTCAACCTATAAAAACAATTGGATCAAGAGCACAATCATGTGATTGCATTTATGTTATCACCGAGCACCGATAATTTACGATTAGTGCGGACAAACGCATTGTCTACCGTTTGCGGCTTGCGCACATGAACATAGAAGCTGTTCTATAAATCTATGAGCTCGGACTGGTTTCAATAATTCGACTTTGCTATATATATATTCTTCTGTATATTTGTAGCTGTAAAGTGTTTAAAAAACAGAATCTTAAGAGGTTGTAGATACTTCAATTAAGATATGTTTTTCAAGGTTTTTAGTCCTAGTAAATATTCAGTTACATTGTATACATATACACACATTTATTGAAATTTTATTAACATGTAATGCGACATTTCTAAAAAAATCGCTGAAACTTAAGAATAATAGCTAAATCTTATATCTCATTTTATTTCTTATACATTTATTCTGATATTCAGTTGTACAAATGTGCAAAAATAATCTTTTTTTTTTTTCTTAAGTAATTATTGTCCGCATGAGAAAACCTTGACATTGTTCTACGCTAATCCTCGTTCGAATCGTGGGATCAGAAACCACTCGTAATTCTTTCCTTCCCAGCGTAGTCCGGTGGATGTTTAGTTTTCTAAGAAACACACGGCACTTTGATACACCACTTGACATATTTAGCTCCACCGTCGTATCGGCGTAGTAACACATACCGGCAATTCTTTTACCGACACGTTTCGCTTTATACCCCTACGAAAGTGCACGCGCTGCTTTACAGCTTAAGGAGTTTTCCTGAAGAGACGCGGCGGCGTGAGAAGGCCGAGTTACAGCAATGTTATAGTACGTACTGCATCTAAGTGGACAACTTTCACGTACACGGAGGATACGCGTGAATACGCGAAACTCTAAATGCAAGTTACATGTATGAAAAAGAAAGAAAAACAAATGTGCCGCGAGAGAGACCGCTTATGTAGATACGGTGTATTATCTTGAATTTTATTTCACTCTGCGCATAAGAATTCTTACTTACGACGAAAGTGATAAAAGTTCAAATGCTGCCGCAATTGCAGCAAATATTAAAGTATTATATAATAATTAGAAATATTGTATAACGATTAGAAAAGAGAGAATTTTAATTTAGATTTCTAACGATACTGCGAAATGCTGTTAGTTCTCAATTTAATTTGAGACAACGTACTTTTAGAAGCCACAACATTTTTTAAGAATATATTTCAAAATAATCTTGAATTCAAAAAAATATTTCGAACATGCAAATCCTTAACTTTACACGACTGATGCTTTGCATAACTCCGCAGTGTATATAAACCCGCCGCGGGCAAGAGTACATCACACATTCATCTACAAGTGTCTGCTTTACTTTCGGATACATGTGCAGCGACGTGAGTCAGGCTAGATGTACCTCGTCGTGGCTTTACGAGAGAAGTTTCGGTTTTTCATGCATTCAACAAAGCAAGATACATAGGGTGTCTTCGAGAAAAGAAAAATTTTCGGGGAATAGAGTCGAATAAAATTTTTTTGCTGAAATATTTTATTCGACTCTATTCCTATATTTTTACGCCAGAAAGAATATTAAAATTATACAGGTTTATTTTCATTTTTAAAAATTAGAATTCCGAAACATAACTTCAACACAACAGTTTATCGTTTCTCGAGATGATGCAACTTTGTTATCTCTGCAGATAATACTAATTGAGCAATCGTCCTTCGTTATTTCCCGCTTCGTTACATTATGCGGAAGATTATATCTTTTTACCACTTAAAATTCATGAAAAAAATTTGCAATTTATTTCTTCGTGGTGATATCTTTTAGAGGTTAAAATAAAGAAATACGATTCTTCAAGACACACCGGATACGTAGGAATGGTTCTTCAGTGTTTACAGGTCGAACCACGATGCTCCATACTCTCGAGTACCTTCGGTCGTGTACTATGTCGAGATGCACCCATCAAGGCAACTCAATCGCTTTCCATCCCCACCTCGCTCGCTTCACCTGCATCCCGCCTCGGAGAGGTAGGTACCGTGTGCGCCAAGAAAACAAAGTAGTAGACGTGAGCGAGGCGGTGGAAAGGAAATCGAGAGCATAACCCAAGTCGAAAGTATGGAAAAGGCGTACGAGCGGCCATGGCTGAGCTGCAACAGACGCCGCCATGTCCCCCGTTTCGTTTCTGAGCGTTACTGAACAGTCGCGGATCTTTTCGGTTTATTTTGTGTCTCGCTTGAGACACGGACTGACCGAATGAACAAACATTACCGAAATCACGTTTATTCACAGTTCTCTCCTCAATGTTAGCAGATTCATGAGCGAGTCGAATCAAACGCAATAAAACATTCCGCTTGAACAAACATTCTGGGACGGAGACTTGTGACTTTTTTTTAGGGGTGTGGAGTACATCATTCAAGCGGAGGAAAGAAGAGGCTTGAATAACACACAACATTTGATTTTCTTTTATTGTATGTCGAAATTTCTATATATTCTTCTATATTTAATTTCTTTTCATATATTTTTTCCAGTAAAATGTTTTTTATTAAATTCAAAATTTCTAAAAATTTTTCAAAAATTAAAATATATATTTTTTAAATACCCCGAATTCTGGGTATGAAATTCCACACCCATATGGGAGCTCTGGGTGTGGTAAGCTCCATACCCTCCATAAGGAAGTCTGCGTCCCTGCAAACATTCATAGTGAAACTCTGTTTTTCCTGTTATTTGTTTACGTAATATACATATGCTTGCTTATATCTACTTCACGATATATTCAGAAATTGATCGTAACTTTTATCGTGTTGATCAAATAATTATGTTTTACTTCCCCCACATTCCGGACATTTATTTAAAATATATCCGTACTTTGTGACTAATATCTGGATACTATCAATACTCCTTTTTGATGTTAACGTAACATATCTAGCATGATTCAATCATCTGCGAATACGTCGTATATACATATGTTATAATATCTATAAATTCCTCGTACGACGTATTACGCGAACATTAAGACATTCTGCGATATTTTATCGCGATGCTCTAACGCTCGCATCACGGTTTTTTATTGCATAGAGATAGAGGTACGACGTAGCATAGGCTGGTAATTATTTGAGCTACGCATGATCTACGATTATGAAGATATATAAAGTTTCAGGCTGTGAATGGGTAGTAGTGAGTTTCGTTCCTGTGGACGCAGGTTCGTATACGTGAAGAGGAAAGAGAGGTACGCTGAACTATAAGACGTGCATGCGATGCTTGCATGTGGGTGCCGTGATCTGTATCGTGAAATGAAAAATTGTTGCCACACGAAGGTTTCATTAGCGTTCCCTTATCCGGGGCGTATTTTACATCGAACCTGCCTCTAACAGGTACGCGTATTTACATAAAAAGGCAAAAAAAGCCCACGTTATCTTATATATTTTTGAATTGCATTGAAATTATTGCATTGAATAAAAGAAAATGTATGATTGTCGTTAAAAACGACGAGGATCAAATTATTCTTATGAACGACATCGCTGAAATAAGCGAAATGACGAACGAAAGAACCCCTGGCCAAAGGCGCGCAACAAAACTCGCCGAGAACTCGAGAACGTGTTTCAACGAAGGATACTGTTGGAGAAAATCGATATTGTGCGATTGGTTTGACCTAGTTTTCACGACTTAAGCATCAGCGAGTTAACATGCGCGCGCTAAATGCCCGAAACCCCTGCTTCGCTCGTCAACGATAATCACGTCCTTCCTTTCCGAGGATCTTCCCCCGTCATTATTTCCACACCTTCCATTATTTCCGCGTCTTAACAAATAGTGTGAAAATACTGTCGGCACAAATACTATGGGGAAATAAATCAGACGATGTAATAAACGTCGGAAACATGCTAAACTTTCATTATTCTATTCTCTCTACCCTTCCCTCTCTATATGTCTTTCCGCGAGACAGTCTGCATAATTCCTCGAAATATTTTTCGTACGTTGTGAAAATAACGGCTGTGCCGGGTTCTCTATAGCTTTCGCTCCCTCCCTTTCTCTAATTTCTCTCTCTCTCTTTCTCTCAACACATTTCACGCATTCCAGCCGAATTCTGGGTGTGCGAGAGAAACGATCGTTGGCAGAGACGCGTAGACGCACACACGGCGCGCGCGCTGCGAGCTGGGCCTGGGTACGCGGCCGACGCGCATGCACGCCAGCATCGAAATTTCGCCCGTCGACCGACATTGCCGTCGTCCAACATTGCCATACGCTGTTTATACAGTAGGTATATACACCGTCACACGCGGAACGCCGAATAATATTCCGCATCCGCGCGGACAACGGCGGCTGCGGGCGCTATGCAACAACTGCATGAAAGTAAATTGGCGTAATCAAGCGGCGCGTATGGAGAACGCGCGGCAATCTCACGCAATATTGCGCATGCAAAGTTTATAAATTCGGAATCCACCTGCCAGCATTTGCCACTGTACCTTCTATGCGACAAAAATACACACGTAGCGCGCGTATACACACGTAGACGCACGCGGGTCGTCCGAACGAAAGGCTAACCGAGTCTATCGATCCCGCTGCACACGGAACGCTTTTTCCGCTCCACTGTAGTAGAAAATGTAGAATTCGTCTCACAGTGGTCCATTTTATTCTCAAAAAGAAGTACACATGTTTTTTTATATATAATTTATATTCTAATATTTTACTTGAATTTTATCAAAACAGGAGTCAAGAACTTTCTTTCCTATATCTTCATATCTTTAAAATTTATTTTTAACATATACTATTATATATTTTTAGTAATAACGTAGTAGATTTTTTAAATATCTATTTATTGTTTACACAAGCTAATTAAATTTCTTTCACGGATAATTATATAGTTTTCTTAAAAATTCTTATTATCGCTTTGAATCTATAGTTTTATCTCAGAATTGCACAACATTATATAACATATTAAATTTATATATATATATATATATATATATATATATATATGTATATTATTTTGTCAATATTCTATATTTTTGTTAAAACAAATGACGGCAGGAATTAAAAAATTTAGTGGAACACAAATGTAAATAACTCGAATTTTGTGCGCGTCTCGTCAAATTTTCTTATGTCAGGAATGCGAATCTTTTCTTATTCCAGAATGCGATAGAGATGGTTCTAAAAAAAACTTATTACGGTCAGGTGATTGGAAATGTGTATGGACGTCTTTCAACTATAGTAGAGATGGCTTCAACGGCAAAATGCTGGAACCCTATTTTCTGTAAAGATCAGGGCATATATCCCGGAGGTATTCTGGCTAGGATCAAATCTTATAGTCTCAAAGATATGATATTTCAGATATATAAATATTGTCGTCCTCCTGTTCAATGTCGCACACACACAAATGCAGCAAAAATAAGAATAATATAATGAATAATATTAAATTCTTTTTTATAAAAAATAAATAGATATAATATTTATTATTGTGATTTAAACATAATTATCAAAAATGATTAATAAATTAATGATATTAAAGCAAACTCAAGAAATTAGCATTAGGAATGTCCAGAATAAATTTCTTTTGTTATATAGCAATCATTTATTAATATAATCATGTATCATTATTTTCAATTTTGCAAATATCCAAAAAATATACGATAAAAGGAAGATTTAAAAATTATGATTTACATGATTTAAAAGATAAAATTTACAAAAGAAATTCTGATCTAATATTTTGCAAATATCCAAAAAATATACGATAAAAGGAAGATTTAAAAATTATGATTTACATGATTTAAAAGATAAAATTTACAAAAGAAATTCTGATCTAATATTTTTTTCATTTGATGAGAAAAAGGCCAGCTGTCCTGTAGGACAAAATGTAAATTCGAAACCACTTGAGAATGCAGTAGCTGTCGGATATAACTAAAGTAAATAGGACAAAAAACAACCTTTTCCCCAGAAGAAGAATACCTGGTTGAGGTGAGCGCGACGAGAAAAAATGAAATAGGAAGTTAATACAATTTCTATGCTATAAAAACCTGTATTCAATTTTTAAAATATTTTTTGTGGTTCATTTAATACCGTTAGGTCAAATAAATCCTCACCTTTTTTTTGTGTCAGGCGAGAGGACACAGAAAAATGTCATCTTGCGAAAATTTCGAGATGGTGCGTTTCTCGAGAGTTCTATTTTATTTCGAAACTTTCGGCACACTGCAGAGGTGCGAGGAAAATAACGGAGAGAAGAAAACTCTTGCTCGGAACGGGTGAGTAAACATTAACATTTAATCTTTCGAACGTTAAACACCAAGAGAGATTCATTAAGGGTGTCGCAGCTGTTCGCTGTGGTTTTATTTTCCTCGCATCCGTGCCTCGCGGAGAATGTACAATTTTATCTTTCTACAAAAGTCCACATGCTCTCAGACACTTTCTCAGTTAAGTGCCATTCGATATCTTATGCGTAGTGTGTTTGTAGTGTTACTCAATATTTTAATCAGTTAAATTGAAATTAGAAAATGATAGAAAAAGTATTCATATTTCTATAAATAGGATGAAGCTATAAAAAATACAATATTTTGGTAATCTTACTTGGAGATGAGAGGATAAGTCAAATTTGCTGATTCCGATGTCATCTACGGTGGTTATCGAATGAATTTTTCGTGTAGCCAAACGAGAGAAGTCTTTAAATTGGAAAAACCTGGACGAATCTGATCCAATATCAATGTCCAATCGTCGTCGTCTAAGTCATCACTGCGATAGATTGTGTCGAGCTAGCAGTTCTTATATGACGATACGCCGGCTATTCTCAGTGTAAGCTTTATTGCAGCTAGTTATGGACTGTTATACCGCCTTATCGGATGTCGATGAGAGCATATTTTCTTGTTAGAAAAATACTCTCTATGGATCGGAACCATCAATTAATTGTGCACAAAGAGCGAAGGGTTTAATAGCGGAAAAATCTTAAGTGTTTATTGTAAAAAAAATCTCTATTATATAACTTATTATATTATTAAATATGTAACTCGTTATATTCAGAATGAGTTATTTTAGTTAGTATCAATGTCATATATAATCATCTTGAAAGAGTTATATACGTTTATATAAATAGACATAGATATTCCGTTTCATTTATTATTCTATTAATGTAATCATATTACTAATTCAATTACATTAACTTAAAACTGAGCAATTCATAACTGATAATTTATAACTGAGAGAATCAATTATATTTTTTAATTAAATAGTAAATTATAACTGTAGCAATAAAACTCCATTTGTGTAATAAATTTATACTATATATATTACATAAAAAGATAAATTAATAGCTGCGATAATTATATATGACTTTAGTTCTAGCACGATCAAGATTTATTCACGGAAAGAACAATTTTGCTGGAAGATAAAAGAAAATCTGAAAATAATTTTTGTTAGAGCACCATCAAAATATTTTGTTGGAAACTCAAAAAAGATCGGAAGAGCACACG